AGCTTGAAACAACTTTTTCTCAGTTTTGGGTCAATTAAATTAATTCAACCAAAAGTCAAAAACAATTTATTTGGAAACTTTCTTGAAGTAGATTATAGGACTAGTATAGGACACATTGGCACAAAACATGAGTCAACAACGTCTTTTTTCGGAATATTAGTGGTATTGTTATAATCACCTGATGTTGGTGGATAGTCCATTTTAAATTTTTACAAAAAATCTCGAAATTCGAAAAAATATGCAAAAGTATGAAAGCCAGCGACGAACAAGTACGACCAGTGACAGACAGGAGTGACTTCATCTGAACCATAGGTTCGTTTTCGCGCGAAAATTTAAACTGTCAATTTAAAACCGCATTTTTTCCGATAAATTACAATGTTTTAATTTTTTAATGTATCTGTGGTTTATTCTACATGGAATTCTTTAAAATGATAACAAAAATAAAAATATTGCATCTTCCCATAATATTACCGTGCTTATAGGATCACTTTGTTGTCCGTCCGTACGTCCGTCTGTCAAGACCGTTTTTCTCAGGAATGCGAGGTATCAAACTAAAATTCATATCTAATACTCATGTCTACTGTCCCTTGGAGCTGTGAAAATATCAAACTTCTTAGCCAAAGCAATCAAAAGAAACAGTCGTTTATGCCGCAAATTTCCGCAAATATTCGAAACTCGCACGGGAATCAAAACCTACAGGGTACTTACCGTGAACTTAGAATCTTAAAATTTGGTAAGTGACGTCTTATAGTACAGATAATAGAAAAATTGCGAAAACCGTAAATTTTTAGTAACATCATAAAATAAAAAATATTTTTGAAAATTTAAAGTTACTTTAAACGGGTAGAGGTATTAATTTGAGTTTGTACGGAGCCCTCGGTGCGCGAGTCCGACTCGCACTTGGCCGGTTTTTTATTTCTAGTTAGCCAATAATCGCTTAAAATCTCCATTCTATGAGAAAACTTTATAATCTATCCGGATCAAGTTCGTGTGATTTGCACATTGAAGTGGTGAACTTCCTATAAGTCATTAAACTCTCTCATTATTCTTTGTTTTATTTGCATTGTTGAACTTTGTAAAGTAGTTTTTGTTCCGATCAAACTATGTTGTACTCGCACATAGAATTTTATTAGGTGATAAATATGATTTAATTCTTACATCTATTCGAAACGAGTTACATAGATTGTTCTCTGTTTACATGAACCAAAGTAGACAACGTAAGTACTCATATTTTAGCAACTACGAGTAAAAAAATTGTTTTAACCTAAAGTACCCGTGTACCAAACGGCAGTTTTTTTTATTGCAGCTCAACCACTATTAATATAGTACTTCGGTCCATTAGTAAACAATCTGCATTTACGAGTATTGATGTTTCGGTAAAATTTTAAGAGAAGGCGGACAGAAAGTGAAGCGGCCGCCTAGGGGAATAACCTCCACCTTTAGGTGATCTCATATACCCCCTCTGCTGTGTAGCCATCCACTTAGTTTTTCACGATTTTCCTCTTATTATTCGAATCCTTTTGTACTTGTATCCAGCCTTCATTTATGTCTAAAATCAAATATTATGTTCTGAATAGTTTCTCTACAAACTTGCCTATATATTAGATGTATAAATTAAAATCATTATTAAATATGAGAAAACGCAAAATAGGAAGAATGAAAATATGAAAATTATTTTCTCAACCCCTGGCAGAATTCACCTAATTACACAGCCGAGGGGATGGATATTATCTAAGCACCGTATGCGCCTAACGCGTCGCGTATTCAATATAGATTTTACAAAATACTGATGTATCGCACATACGGTGCTATAACGTCACTTATGCTATTTTAGTCAAAACTAGAGTGAGTATGAGAAAGTACACCAAATCTACCTCTACTTGGTACGTTATTGTCGCCTTTGTAGTACGCATATTTTCCGCGTGCGGGCGTTAGTGTCGTTATTGTTTTGGCGCGAATCTGGACGCCACTGGGAGAAACAATGTCTCATTGGTCAGTTGAGCGCGGCTTTCACAGAGACCCCGCACAAGAAGCAGTCTCCTGGAGCTACAACGTTACTAAAGTAAATAGGGACAATTTATATTTGTTTTTGGAGTAATAACGACACTTGTCTTAGCAGTGTATGATTTCGTGATTTATTTGTTTTGACATAATTGTTCGGTTAATTGTTTTCTAATGTCATAAACTCACATCTGCGAGGGTAGTAATTAAAAAAAAACTATATTTATATTAATTTATTACTCAGGTGTTTGCTTTTACATTAAAATGAAGTTAAGTTGTGATTTAAACATTATCATTACATATTTGTTTAGTCGAAAAGAACTATATTTTGTTATTGGATGTTGAATTTTCAATTGCTTCTCCTGAAATATTACATCATTTGCATAAATAATAAATAATTTACCGTGATAGAAGCCTGCTGTATGAACTTCCACGGTTTTGGGCATGGTGTCAGTGGAGTCTAGACGAGTGGCATAGCGAAAACTATGGTGACCACTAGTACCCTAAAAAAATATTGCTAAATGGTGGGCGTTTATAATTGAAACTGCAACCTACAAATAGGCAAATCAAATCAAATCCTTGGCATAACTTGAGCAATAAGTAGGTACAGGCCGACAAACTTCCAAGCACTTTGTATTTGTGTAAGTGCCTTTTCAATGCCCGGTTGTCGGATACGCAGTGAAGTTCATGGTAGGGATCGAACCGAGCGTCTTAACGTAGGTACCAATCGAAGAGTTTGTGTATGTAGGATAATTCATTTAGAAATTATAACCACTATGTAGCTTTAAAGTGTCAAAACCATAAAAAACTCTTCGAATAATACTATATTTTAAAACAATTGTTATTTTCCTAATCTGGCAACATACACCCCTGTTAGTAGAAACCCAATAAACACATATATTAGGTACTTACAATACTTACTCACTTGTCCAGATTGTTGAACTTACCAATGGCTCGTCGCAGGATGGGTATCAAATGTTTATTAATTCGATTTCTTCCGTACATTGGTGCATGCATCTGCATTCGTTAGCAATTCATTCAAGCATTCAGCATACTAGGCCCGCATGTGTGTCCTAATCTGTTTAGTAGTAGTAGTAGTGTAGTGGGTCTGGCCCGTTTCTCTTATTCCTTTTACAGAACCTGAGTAGGTAGTGAGACATTAAAAGGTTGATAATAATGACGACAATGACTTATAATCTTTATTATCTTCATTTTCTCTGTGGGTATTTTTTTATGCTTAGTTTTATACTTCTGTGTTTGTTAATTTGTTTTAAATTAATCTACGGCCTCGTGAGTGGATTAGATAAAGTATACCTATTTTGTGTTTGATTTGTACATGTGAAAACTGTGTAAGGCTTATCAATGCTACATCATTTTGTTTTACAATGCCGTTTGTTTTCCATGAATAAATAAATAAATAGAAATACTTAATAATGACTCGTCTTCCTTACAGTTCAACATCAGAAATGCATCATAATAACAACCTATTTAGACAATTACCCACCTGAGTCAGTGCAAGTACCGGAGTGCTGCTATTTAACGCTCTATTTGGAGTTTGGTTTGTAATTCCGACAGTTGCTAACAGGAAACAATTGAAAGTTGCACGTAGTCAGCTTATTTAGTTAGTTGTACTATAATAGTGTCTGGAAATGTCTTGTCTTCTACAATAATATACTTTTTAAAAGCTAAAATTTTACTCAGTATTCTGACGATGCAGACCTGAAAAGGCTGCGAAACTTCAATAAATAAATAAAGTTTCGTGCATTAACCCGTTAAAACTAGTTTTATTTAAAATTCTACTTCCTACACGGGACAGTTCAGTGACTTTTACTATCTAACAACTACTAACTAAACGGCTGGTCTCATTTGGTCACTGAATGAATGCAATCGATGGATTTTTTGTATATCTACATAACATATACACAATAATATTGGGTAGATTTTATTATTCTCTTCAAGAGCTCTGGCGTATCGTAGGTACCTTACTGCTAAATATAGAAAAAAAGATTTCTTATGATTAAGTACCTACTTGAAATGTGTAAATGGTGGCAAAAAACAAAATAAAACAGAGTAACATAATTAAGAGATTGTATTTCTAAATATATACTTACTTCTAGGTTCTAGTATAGGTTACCGTAGGTACAGCTTTTGAATGATGTTTAGCTTATCACTTGAGTAATTTGAGACGTTGGCCGTTTTAACATTCGTAAGATTATTTCACGATGGTTTCCCATGAATCGAAGGGCAATCTGGAGTTAGCAACTGAAAAAATAAATATCTCCATCATACGAACAGCATGTGTAACATTTATAAGAATCCGTCTAATTAAGGAGCGTGCGCGGTGATGAATGTTTACGATACGGGCGACTGCGATATCGCGTTGATGTTTTGTGTGGCCGATCGTGACGGCCGTCGGGCGGCGGGTCCCGACGAGGCGGCGGCGGCGGCGGCGATCGATAGGCGGGCGCGGCGCTGCAGGCGGACCGCCGCCGCCGAGCGCTGACACCGCCGCGCCGCGCTTACGAGCACTACACGAGCACACCACACTCCGGCGACAGCCCGCGTCGTGATCCCACGCGACGATGCGCGGCGACCGCGCCGCCCGTGACACGCGCCACAATAAAGATCACGAAAACTTAAAGTCATCACTCAAAAAAGGCACTAAGCCGAAAAAGCACAGGGTCGTATTCGACGAGAGTGCCAATGAGTTCTTCGAAGCCGATTACATTATCGTAGTACGAGACGAGTGCGGTTACTCGGACGAGGGTGAAGGCGAAGAATGTTCAGGATGCGGTGCGTGCGAGCGCTACCAGGAGCCAGAGCCGGGGGCGCTGAGCCCACCGGAGGGCTACAAAGATATGGGCCTGTTCAACCGCGACGGTACGCTGCGCGAGCAAGCGTGGTGGGAGGCCGGCGACGTGGTGCTGGTGGGCGAGCGCTCGGGGACCGTGTTCACACCGCAGCACCTGCAGCTGCTGCGGCGGCTGCAGCGCGAGCGGATGCTTCGCTCCACCATCTGTGCGGACTGCGACGCGCACGCCGCTCTCCATCAGCCGCTCGGTGAGTCACCTCTGTCCTTGCCAAGGACGAACTCGGCCGGATGGCCTTGCTAGCTCGCATCTCGTGTTACTCGCCTGACGAGCCGCACCATGCTACACCGGTAATAAATGCGATGTCATGCCTCTACAACGAATAAGACATGACCGATAAACATGACTGAAACCTTACGACCGAGACCTTCGCTGTTCTCACATGATCCGTTTTATACACATTGTCAAACATTTATCTTGTTGATGAATTGGTATGGTACTTTAATTACGTGTTGTAAAACCATATAAAATTGCTTAAATACAAACAGTACGCTGCACAGCTTAATGCGCCTGCGAATGTATACTATGATCATTGCTTTGCGAAAAAGTTATAATTTACATGTAAATGTTCTCATTGAGAACGATCGTTCTATAATAGTCTTTCATAAAACGGCTGAAGCGAAAACAGTCGCAAGTGCGCCCGAATTCACAATGGATCGTTTAGCCTGAGACTTTACAATGTATAAAACCATTTAAGATTGTTATTAGACGTAGTGACGTAAGAGGTATCAAGTTTCAAAACAGTTGGGGAGTCTTTTGTGCTCATCTAAAGTAAGAACACTTGGCGACGATATTCTTTTTTAAGCGTTCACGGTTGAATAAATACTTTCAACACTGTTATCGATACTGCGAGACTATGTACCTACACATTTTGTGTGTGTTTTACCTACCAATATATACCTAGCTCGTATCTTATGATTACACTGATCAAATTGTGTATAAAATGTTACGTAAGCATAAATCTTGATACCTGCTCTTAAACACAAAAAAAACTGTATTAGCAGTAAACAATGAAATAACACTGTCACTGGCTCAACAACTAAAATATAATACTGATCTAGCCTAGCTGCCAATTAATAAAGTAAAATCACAATATTATAACTCACCGCAACAAACTAAAAACTTGTACATAGGTACTGTAGTTACATTACGTTACGTTAAACACTAAAAAATAAAGACTTAGTGGGTGATTAATTCGTTGGCAATTTAAAGCGAATTTCTTTGTCAGAGGAAAAAAGAAGTGTGTTATCTCGAAGGTTTTTTTTGCTGAACCAACGATACGCTACGATCGTTAGCGGAGAGGAGGATTAGGAATAAAATAATTACAACTTATTCACAATGGTTGTTAATTTAGGTTTGGACCAATGTTATTATTGGCCCAGGGCATAGATGAGAGCTACATAACATAGGTCTATGTAGATGAGAGTATGTAATGCCACATGAATGCCAGGTGCAGATTTTATTGTTATTTACAAGGGATCGTTCGATCGAGATGTCCTAAATGGGTGATAGGGAAAAATATTGGACGATGCAAAAGATCTTTCTATAAGTCAATTTAAATAAAGTATAATTTCATTAAATTCTTTTCATTTTAAATTGTTTATACATTATTGCATGTGATTGCGTAGCGATTGTTGGATATATGAACTATCAATCGCAGCCCGAGACTTAAATATACCTATTGTTCCAGGGGTGAGAGTAGCATTAAGAGAGAGACTGGCAGGGGCGAAGAGCAGTGCCAAAGTTATTGTTAGATGAAAGAGAAAGATTGTGAGAGAAGGTGATGAGGATGAAAGGATTTGAGATTAGATTATAGAAGACATAAGGTCCAATAGGTAAATTGATGAGAAGTGTAAAGAAATTAATAAATTTGTACGCATGTATAACACATCCACATGAATTAAATAGCTTAGGTAAGATTAAACTATCGAAATATAGTTTGATCACGATCGTCATGTGATAATCACTAAACTATAGATCGGTTGACATAACATCACATCACAAGTGCGCTCGGGATCTGAACAGTTGTCAGGCGACATAAAAGTGAGATAAAAACGCCAACAAATGTTTATTTCCTTAATTTCCCTGCCCTCAGGTAAACTTTTACCCAAAATATGAATCACATTATTGCAATTTTATCCTCAGACACGCGTAAAACAGACCAAAAACATGAAAACGGCTCACACAAAAACGGTTATTGTAGCTTAGGAATCTCAGTTATTCATTTATAAATAATGCCTTTATTACACCTACACTAGCAGCATTGTTTGTATGGCGTCGATGCGACGGCGATTTTGTTGAACAATAACTACAGATAAATAGGTACACGTGTTGATGAATTAGTTCGAATCCACAACTGTTTCGGAGTACTGGTTTAATTATATTTCGACGGATACAAATATAATAAATAAAACTCCTGTTCCCTCCTAGCCCAGTGGCAAACGCTTTGTAGCGAATTCGTTGTTCGCTAGGTTAACGACATATTGTAATAGAAAATGATTTGACTCAGAACGTAGAGCAACACGGCCGACGAGCCCATGACGCGCCTCAGAGAAATTTATCTACAGACAGTTCGTAGTCGTAGTTATTATTCTGAGTTTCGTCTAGTTCGTTACACCTTGAACACGTGATAGATTTGTCGTCATTGACAATCAATAGATACATATGGTGTCTCATAAGAAGGCTCAAGGTCACACACCGAGCAATGGAGAGAGCGATGCTCGGTGTTTCCCTACGCGATAGAATCAGAAATGAAGAAATCCGTAGGAGAACCAAAGTAACCGATATCGCTCGAACGATTGCTCTGCTGAAGTGGCAGAGGGCAGGACACGTAGCAAGAAGAACCGATGGCCGTTGGGGCGGAAAGGTTCTGGAATGGCGACCAAGAACCGGACGCCGCGCAGTGCAGCGCCGTGGGCAGGCCCCCTACAAGGTGGACCGACGATCTTGTGAAGGTCGCGGGAAGCCGATGAATGCGAGTGGCGCAGGACCGATCGGTGTGGAAATCCTTGGGGGAGGCCTATGCTCAGCAGTGAGGTGTCGTACAACTGACGTGATAATGATGATGAGATACATATGGCATTTGGTCGTTGTCAAAACAATATCTGGGCCAGGTCTGGGCCAGGTCTGGGCCCTATTTCACCAAGTCGACATATGTCACTGATATATGTATGGTTTGTTGTGGGGTGATCTATTCACTGCATTGATTTCATTAATTAAATGTTCGATACTGGTTTTGCTTCTGCAGAAATTTTCTCTGAACGCCAAATCAGTGATATCAAAGGAGACATTTATTCGTTCCTTATAAATTCCCTTGTATGTCAACTCATATTTTCAAGCTTTCACGGTTAGCCATTTTGTAACCAACAACAGGCACTACAACTTTAACGCAAATCTGACACAGGCCCAATATCACGTTAAGAATTACCGACAATTTGTCAAATAAAAAACCAAAAATTACCCTTGTTTCACTACACAATAAATATTTCCAACACTCACACCAATTAGCCTAGCCCCAAAGTAAGCACTGTAAGGCTTGTGTAATGGGATACTAGGGTAACGGATAGAAAACATATACAGTACATATATAAGTATATTAATATAGAAATACATATTAAACATCTATGACTGGAGTACAAATGCACGTATTCATCACACAAACATCTGCCCACCCCGGGATTCGAACCCGGGACCTCTCGAGTCGGCGACATCATGAAACCCGGCGTACAAACCACTCGGCCACGGAGGTCGTCAACTTAGTATACGGACTGCGAAAATCATTCTTAAAATTGTCACTTATCACCTACGACGACTTGATGAAATAGGGCCCTGCTATGTGCGAAAAATAAAACTTATTAGCCGTAAATATTTGACAAATTTCTGGCTGATGCATCCTCCATATTTTTTAAGCAACCTCTTTTCACCGTAGTAAAGCTAAAGATTCGCATGTCAGTCTTTGTATTAGAAACGGTTAGTATACTAGAGTACCTATATCGAAGAATTATTTAAATTATTTTCTATAATAATGGAAATGTCGTAATCTCACGTGCACTTAGCCGATATTAATTTGACGAAGACGTTGCTATTATGTTAAACGCTAACAAACGTATACCACTTGGTGAGGCCCCCAGAACGGGTCATGAAGCGCATTTATTAGAACTAACAGTCGGCCACTGGCCTAAATTCGACCTGTTTAGTTTATAAGTCAAATACAAATAGTATACTTCTTTCATCATTTCTATAAGTTCTTTGTGTGTTAGTGGTCAAACGCTTGGTAGTACTTACCTACCTATGTGTAATGTTTATTAACTTTTAAATATTTTATAATACCTTACAACTTATTATATAAAAATATTAGCTTTCTGCACGTTTTCTCCATATATTAACTTTGATTTAACTGCACATGCCTACAATAATTATATTCATATTTGCTATTTGGTAAATTGACAGAAGTCTCTCCTTTTTCATATGTACAGAACGTGATAAAGATATAATGCTGTAAAATGGTAAAATGCTGCTCAATACAAAATACGAATAGCCCAACATGTGAAGAGTTAGGTTGACACATTTTTTTAGCAAAATAATAACATTTCATATGGCCAGTATGACAGTTCCATTAAATGATCCTAACAGTAGTAGTACCTATCAAAACTTATCCATTGTAATTTAATATACACACATCAAAAGTGTCTAGGGATCAACATATATTTTTGCAATAACTTTTCTCCTGATTGATATTAATTAAAATTTTCTTTAAGGATTCATCAAATAAAGTGTTTTCGTTTGTCACAGTAACGATAAACCAAGTCACCTTTGCATTAATAAAGAAATTTGCCATTTTCCTAATAAAGGGATTTTTGACATTTGAACCACTAACACAAAAGTTCGAAAAAAAGACTGAAATAACAGTTTTCTCTAAAATTTTATTGGGTAACTTAAACAATTAATAATCCGTATTTCTACCGCGAACACTAACAACACAAGAACATCGGTTTGGCATACTCAAAATGAGTTCATCCAAATCACGCTGTGGAATGGCCGCCCATGTTCGTTGCAACAACAAAAAAAGGTCTTCTTGCGACTGGATACCCTCCATATTCGGCAGAGCTCTTCTCTGTAGCATATCCCATGCATGCTCAATCGGGTTCAAGTCTGGCGACTGAGCAGGCCAGGGCAGGACATTGATGTTAG